TTTTTTTTTTCTTAACTTCAATCTACAATCCAATTCCTCGCTTGCGCGATGCGAGAAAACCTGTTTAACCGGTACTCCAGAGTACAAATACCGCGTGATGTTTGTACTCGTCTAGGGCTTTATTTGTCCCCAAGTGTAGTTCGATAATAATTTCATTTCCTCTGGTTTGCCAAAGTGAAGACTTAAATTCTGGTCGTATGACCATAAATAGAAAAAAAAAATGCCTTATAGACCTCAGTCAACAAATCAACCCTTGGTCTAACATGATGCAACGATTAATTTGCCACAGCCAATACAGCAATCTCAATCCCAAAATTAAAAGAAAATAATTTTTAGTCACAAATCGCTAGAAAATCAAGTTTAGGATAAAAATCGGAAACATGCTCAGGGATCAGATTTCAAAGACGATACGCACTATTTTCTGGTTTTCCAAATAACCGCGCGTGCTAATTACTAAGGCAAGGCTAAGATATTTGGGCTTAGCACCACAACAGACTGAGGCTTGTTTTAGGACCAGGCCCCGGTTGTTCAAAGGATGGATAACGCTATACACTGGATAAATCTCTATCCGGTGGATAGCGCAGTACGTTTTAGTAACACTTATCCGCTGGATAGCGATTTATCCGTTGGATAGCGTTATCCGCTCTTTGAACAACCGGAGCCAGGCAGTTTATCAGATATAAAACAGTAGAATATTACAGCAAAAGTATTCGACAGATACACTAAACAACCGTCCAGTATTCAAAAATATATCACAAACATTAAATCAAATGAATAGAGAAACAATCAAAACTGCCAATGGTTTGGGTGGGAGGCGGGAACTTAGAACTTCCTTCAGAAGCTAGAAAACAACTTTCTTGCTTGCATGTTCGATAGAACGTGTACAGATTCCACTTGCGATATACTGGAAGACCTGGGATAACTCGCAATTAAAAGAGTACTTTTGCGTGGTGCATCAAACCAGTTGGTTCTATCCAGGTCTTGTGACTTACACGCTCAACAAATTGCTTAACTCCGAAAGAGACTGTACCTCTCCGTTCTCGAGGTCCAGATTCATAGTAATGGAATTAATATCTACGACAACAGTTTTGTTGAAAGAGATACTAAATTTTCCATTAAGATGCGAAAAAAGTGCGAAGCCAACTCTTTCTAGCAGTGAGAGAGGGTTACGTAGAAGACCGCATCACGCAATGTCAAACATAGATTGAAGTATATGAATTTCAGGTCATTTTCCCTACATGGTTATTACATATCGACACTTAGAAATGATATTCACCGATCCAAACGGTGGTCCGCATTAGGCGAAGCCTCACTTGAAAGCGGCAACTTCACTTTTCATTTTGCAGCCATTAATTTGAATCGCGTTCAAGAATGTTAACTCGAAAGTTCGTCTAGTCGTTTTCAAGGCTAATACCACATGTATTGGTATTTCAAATCGAGTATCCTTTAGCCCAGGCCATTCATAGCTCATTTGATCGACGGGGGCTAAAGGTCTATTTCGATTGGAATGGAACCAAAAAACAAAACAACCTGAAAATCTAAAAACTCGCGGCTGAACTGGACTAGAACATTTCAGTCAATCGCTGAGAAATTTTGTTGTTCAAGCCATTTGTTTGCCATTTGATTACGCGAATAGACGGTCACGCGATTTGCAATTCATTCATGCAATTTGTTAAAACGAACTCTAAGGCTGAAACAAATCGGAATCAATTATACTCCTTCGACTTTATTTTGTTTTGGGCTGTAGCGCTGCCGAAAATTCCCTAAAATCCATAGAATAAATGAAGATCAGCAGTATCCTAGTGCTTCAACGTAGTCGCTCACTAACTATAAGAATCAAGGAACACATATTTGCGCCTTACCTGATTTTTATTAAGTCAAACATCTGACAAGAGTTATAGACAAGAGTTTTGAAGTCCCGCACACGATCGTAACAACGACCAAATGCGATCACCAGTGAACCAACCAGTCAAGTCATGCGACTTATCTACGACCTTCGCCCCGGGACTTTCGCCTCCACGTCCGGTGCAGACATTCAACTTTGATTAGAAATCCTTGGTAGTTCGATTACAGTTCCTTTCAGCAAGAGGGTAGGTAAGCTTTCCGCAATTTGTTTTTCATTGGTAGACTACGTATCGTCTAGAATTTTCATAGCGAATCTGTGAAAGTTTCTTCCAGCTAGCTAGGATCTACATTCAAGAGTGTGTAAGCAGAGGCGAAAGAGGGGGTGGGGGAAAGGGGAGGGGGATGGGGGTGGTAATGCAGAGAGGGTCCACAATACTCATATAACAAGAGCCATAATTGGGTCCCAATAATGGCTCTTGTCATATATGCATTCTAGCTTGGATTGCAAGTCTAACTTTTGAACATCATGTCCCCTAATAAAAGTGTTTCCGTTTCCTTTACCAAATGGGAGATCTGTATGATGCTGATGTTTTTGAAGAAACTGACGACTATCAAGTTCCGTTTTCAGAGATCCATTCAAATCTAAATGCTTTCTACCTCAGTCCAGTACGTTTCACTTTATATTGAGGAAGCTCAAGAGTCTAGAATTTTGTTAAAGAGAGGGGAACGTTTAAAAACCATGACCTTGCGTTAAACAAAAAAAATTTAACGGCTGAATTTTTATAAATACATAAAATATTCTGAATCGGCACTTATAGCCAGGTTTCTGCTCACAGATCGTAATGGCCAATGAATAGTCAAGTGCCCTACTATTTGAGCTACCTCAGTGACATCCAACGGAATCGTGGTGGTCGGTCTCCCGTTTCTCCCCGGCACGCTCCAAGTTGAATGGACATCACCCTGTACATCATATCAATTGAAGCAATCAACTATATGCATGTATCCTAGTCCGGAGGGCCAGAGTCCGATTCGCGCTCGGAAATCAGATGGATTTGTTTCTAAGTAGACCTTAAATCAAACGGCACCTCAACCACGCTTGTAAATAGATAATTAGTTTGCTTCCTTCAAATTTGGGTTTTCAATCATGTTACGTTCGATTTGCATCATTTGTTCCTTGATATCTGAGTGTTTCTAATAAGTGGACTACAATGAAAACCACAGGGTCACCAGTAATTATGTCAGCCTTATCAAGTCTTTTTTTTAATTTCAAGTTTTTAATTTCAAGTTTCTTTTTTTAATTTCGTAGACTGGACAACACGCTACAACACACTATCATCGCTCCAACTCGAAACTCAAGTTAAAAATAACAGACACTTTATCCTGATCTGGTTCACAATCATGGGTTACAATTTAAGGACTTGAAAGGTAGACGTTATTCAGAAGGTTGTTCCAGGTTTTTCCAATCTCTTTACCAAAATTTAATTTAACTTATTATTATAATCATCAACCGATGAAGTTGTTATACTCTCTTTTCAGTAAAATATGATCTCTTTACTCATCAAGGACTATTTCAAATAGCGATTTTTCATTTTTGAAATTACACACATGTTAAGCTGGAGAGAGTCGATCAATCACGTGATCAAAGTTTATGGGTTGCAGCTGCCACTAACCAAGCCGGGACATAAACAAACTCGGGCATCATCCAGGCGACAGAGGGGTATGACCTCTCCAGATGAAACTTCACTTGGCGAATGGACAATGGCTGAGTTCCTACAAGAAAGAACCAAAATTTCATCGTGTCTGTATTTCTAAAAACTGTATTATCCGACCATGACATAATTAGTTGAAGAGCTTTCCATA